ATGCAGATAGATGTAGCCCAGGGGTCCTTGGCCAAGGATACTGGTGTTCGTGACAGAATTCGAAAAACTCCGAGACCAGGGAGAGCAATAATCATTGACTCGTACGTACGGTACACTCAGAGTCAAAGAGCCAATCTATACTTACATACATAATTGGATGTTTACGGTGTCAATTCAGTTCTGTTCTCACTGCAGCCATAAGCATGTCTTGCTCGTTTCCCTTCATGTTGGAAGGGATGTCTCTCCCACAAGGCTCCACTCTACGTGATCTATCACCAGCAAAACTGCGAAATCCACGCTGTCGTCCTGTTATTTCCATGCTCACAGCTCGACATGTTGTCATAGCCGGGTCTTCTGTTTTCATTTTCTGCTACTAAACGCAGCGCAGTATATCTTCTTCACACAGTACAGCACTTTTACGTGCTGTCATCGTTTCGTCTGATCTATCATACCTACTAGGTAGGTCCTCAAGTTGTTGGCTGGCACCCGAATTTGATACATCATAAACCATCCCGTGACTCGTTTTAGACGCACTGCCTCATCGCTCTTGTCTCCCTTTAGTCGGCCCTGAGAATAGCTCTTTGTTCGTGCGTTTATTAACCTTAGCCCACAATCTTCTTTCTCTCCTCTCACCGGTTTCGTGGGTCCTATTTTCCTTTCTTTTCTTTTCCTATCAGATGTGATATATCATGTTTTGTCCACTTCCATTTCGACGCCATTTTTCACCGGCAAATAACCCGAGCATGGCCTCCACTCGAGATGTTTTTCAGACATAATCATTGGCTTGAGGGTTCTTGTGATCTGGAGTGAACAATGACCCCCATACTGAAGTATGCATACACTAGTAGTATGCTGTAAGTCACCGTGACAATTATACCTCATCACAGGTATTTCAAGGCGTAATCTTTTACGCCTCAAATGACAAGTTCATTCGACTCCCAGTTTCGTAATGTACTAGGTCAGCATACCAAGAATCTTTGAATATCCTATCCAGTTGCCCCTATTTGTCACTCGTGAGAAAAAGCAACTTTCGGCAGCTCATCTCATCCCAACTCAAGCCATGATTGACAATCCTTACACCGAGAACTGGCTTGAAATCGGGGATATCGATTTTCTCAACCTTTCGATCGGCCATCGTCATGTTACACAACGGGGCCAACAACCCCTTAGACTCGAGGAAAACACGGCTTGTCCGGTTCTCTTTCGTCCGACCTTTTGACTGTTCGTCACTTCTCATATTATCCCTGTCTCTTCTTCTCGACTTGAAGCTAAAAAGGCTTCTGTTGTGGATCTTAGACTCACACTTACTCAGCCCGATGGATGTCAAGTCTCTTGCGGCTTGTGATATTGGCTAGGCGGCGATCGAGCTCGATAGCATATCTCGCATTGCCCAACTCTCCCCCAATCCCTTTGACTGGGCGTCCCGAAACACCGGGATGCATGTTGATTGCCACGTCAAACTTCCACCTATAGCTTGCGGCTATGAATTCATCCCGGGGGATGTGACACCAATCAGCCATCAGCCTGTTCAAGAAGCCTTCTTTTCTCCATTGACCGCTACTTGGATATCTGTTTCTGTTCTTGACTCTACTTCTCCATGCGAGTTCCCGTGCCTGTCATCATCTAACATGTCTCATTTGGCTGACTGTGAATTCATATACCCTCTGCTTTTAATCTCACCCTCTGTACGCGCCGTCCCCTTCAGTGTCATAGCAAACCTATCACATCCCTCTACAGCTTGTTCACAAGTCCTCGCGAAGACTTGAGCTGAACCATCTTCTCAAGAGCTTCGTCGATAGGAACCAGCTCACCCTTTGCCTGGGTGGCTTGGTCGTCTCGGTTACGGATGTTGAGGGTGCGTGAGCTGGCCTCCTCGGCACCGACAACTATACAATCTGGTTAGCCATTCGCCCTTAAACAAGGCAGCTTACATTCCAAACTCACCAAAGATAAAGTTGTACTGCTCCAGCTGACCGGTGCGGATCTTCTTCTGGAAAGTGTTGCTGCTCAGGTCCACATCACTGTAGAGTCCCTTTGCTCGGAAGATTTGCTGAACCTCCTTGGCGTAGTCGTTGGCAGCAGGCATGACAGGTACAACCAAGACCTGTCGCGGGCTGAGCCAGAATGGCCACTTGCCGCCAAAGTGCTCGGTCAGAATACCAAACATTCGCTCGAAGCTGCCTAGAACGGCTCGGTGAATCATGACAGGTCGTGCATATCCGGCAGGGAGATCCTCCTCGGGGTTGCTACCATCACTGACTCCGGTCTCGCCCTTGTTAGCGACATATCGAAGCTTGAATCGTCGAGGCAGGTTGAAGTCGAGCTGCATAGTACCGCATTGGTGCTCACGCTTCAGGGCATCAAACAGAGCAATATCGATCTTGGGTCCATAGAAAGCACCATCACCGGGGTTAAACTCCCACTTAGCACCCGTCTTCTCGGAGAATGAGTTGAGAGCCTCTTCGAGCTTCTTCTCGGCGGAGTCCCAGGTGGCGATGTCACCGACGTACTTCTCGGGTCGGGTGGACAGCTTAAGCTTGAATGTGAAACCAAAGATACCGTAGACACTGCTCAAAAAGTCGAAAGCAGATTCGATTTCCTCTCGGATCTAGAGTACATCAGTAAAAGCATGAGCCAGTTAGTAGGAGCCATCATACCTGATCCACAGTACAGAAGATGTGAGCATCGTCCTGTTGGAAACGACGGACTCGGGTAAGGCCTGAAAGAGCCCCGGAGAACTCGTTTCGGTGCAAAACACCAAAATCGGCCATCCTCCAGGGGAGGTCCTTATAAGTGACATCGGAGTGGGCAAAGATCTTGCAGTGTCCAGGGCAGTTCATGGGCTTCAACCCAAACTTCTCCTTCTCAACCTCGAAGGTGAACATGTTCTCCTCGTAGTGGCCCCAGTGACCTGATGTCTTCCACAAATCCGCCTTGTACATGTTTGGGGACATCACTTCGTCGAATTCACGTTTTTGATACTCGCCTTTGATAAGCTCCATCAAGGCATTGTAGATGCGCACGCCGTGTGGTAGGAAGAAAGCAGATCCAGGAGACGCCTCGTCGAAGAAGAAGAGCTTTTGATCAGTACCGATCTTTCGGTGGTTGCGCTTGGCAGCCTCGGCCAGGAAGTGCTTGTACTCTTCAAGAGCCTTCTTGTCGGGGAATGAGATACCAGCAATACGCTGGACAGACTCGTTGTTGCTGTCACCAAGCCAGTAGGCAGCGGAATTCTGTTGGACATCAGCTCAAGCCCATCGTGTCAAGATTAGGAACTGTATATATTATATTGACATACCCTGAGAACGGAAAAGGCCTTGATGTTGCCAGTGGTGGGGACGTGAGGTCCTCGGCACAGATCAATCAGGGGACCGCATCGGTACACAGTACTCTTGGTACCATCGGGAACACGCTGTTGAATGAAATACTCCTTGTACTTGCTGTACTTGAACATCTCAAGGAGCTCATCCTTGGTCATTTCCAGACGCTCGAAAGGCTGCTTCTGTTTGACGATGTTGTTGGAGAGCTGCTCAAGGGCCTTCTTATCCTCATCAGTGACGACTTGCCTAGGGTTTATGTCAGTAAAGTCTCGGGCAAGTTATTCGAAGCCTTCTACGCACTCTCCCATGTTGGCCATATCGTAATAGAATCCAGGGGGGTCCTCAGTAGGGGGACCGTTGCACAGATAACAACCAAAGCGTTTCTCGGCAGCCTCTCCAAGAATATGGGCAGAAGAGTGCCAGAAAACCTTCTTGCCTTCGGTGTGTTCAAAGTCAAGGAGCTCGAGCTTGCAGCTCTTCTCGAGCGGTCGGGTCAGATCCCACAACTCACCGTCCACTCTGGAGATGACAGTGCGCTCGAAAAGAGACTTGGAGATGCCCTTGGCGATAGCGCCAGGGGTGGTCTCCCAAGAAGTTCCCTTTTCCTCTTTGCCATTGGGAAGCGAGATGGTGATTTCCTCGCGAGGTTTGGCTATGATTCTTGTCAGTCGGTTCGAGTCGAGGGACGGAGGCGTGAGGAGGATTTGGATCACCCACCAGCGATTTCGGCGTCCTGTCGGGCCTTGATCTTATCGAAGAGATCAAGTCGGTGCTGGATGAACTCGGGGGTCTCAGGGAGCTATCATACACCGTTAGCAGGTTACAACGCGGCGCCATGATGCCCTGCGATGTATCGCCATGTATACCGCAGCCAAGAAAGGGACACCAACTTCGAGGCCAGCAGACTTTCCACCCTTGGCAGATTTATCCTTGGGCTGCTTCTCTTTGGGTTGCTTAGCAGGGCGGGAAGGCAAGCTCTTCTCAGACACGCCCTCGGCCGCCTTAGCAGCATCAGCTTGATCGGACGACATGTTGAGAACTCTCGCGCGGATGTTGAAGATTTGGTGGGAGGAAGTTGGGCACTTGAAAGTGGTCTTGACTTGTCGATGGCGGGGCACAAGGGGCATTAAACACGAAGGTGGGGTTAGAATTGAGTCACTGCGAATTTGGCAGGGGCACGGGAATAGTACCGTTTGGTTGGGCGCTTTAGTATCAAGAGCTGTAGCCTTAGAAACTTGCCTCCACATCAAACAGAGATGCCATTGAAGTATCAATCATTCTATACATGTTCAAAATAGCTATCTAGTTATTTCTTGTATTTTGGCATGCCCCGGCAAATTGGGTTTCTCATAAACAACAGTCACATGCCGAAAGCCGATACCCAGTCTCTTCGTCCCCTTCAGCTCACTCACACGGCACTCGAACAGTAGAGTCAGACCGAACAATATATACCACGTAATGAAACTCATGATGACCAATGCAGAAAGGACTCAATCCAATTCCGACATCGCAGGTTTTCGACTCAGTCACAAAAATCATCAACAATAATCTTATCCTAGGTAAATCAGGGGTATCAAGCTATTTTCCAACCCAGCAATCCGTAACGCCATGGCATTCCGTTTCCATGTCATGAACCATGCCAGGAACCGCATCCGTAAACAGGAACTGAACGGACAGTATTCATAGTCCATAGCGTGTGACACACTCTTCCTTATGCGCCTCCAAACAATCCAGTGCGCAGACTCTTGTTCCACACTTCATACACCTCACACGCCCCCAATACCCGCAAACCTCACAGAACGATCTAACGGGATACTTGTTGTCTCGATGGCCTGTCACTTCGCCATAGTTCAAGGGAGCGTGGGAAAGGAGCCTGCGCAGCTCCTCGTCGGACGGCGTGTCGGGAACACGCGACATAAGTAAAGGATCGTTATCGCCAGGGTGGCTCGGTGGTGAAGGTCTCGATGATTCAGGAAGAACAGTCGGAGCATCGGCGTCGGCATCGGCGTCGGCGTCGGCCATCGCTATGTCGTCCTCTTGCGGCGGTTTCGAGGATGAGGGAGTATCTCTTCGACTATTCGATGCCCGTTTGTTGTTTGCGCCAGAAGCAGCGGAACGAGAATTCGTAGGGTTGGCCTCTGCAAGTGCCAGCATCGCGAGGAAGTCATCCAAGTGGTTCCCGAATGTCTTCTGCGATTGTAGAATCTTACGAACATTAGGTGTGTGTTTTCCTTGCGCTGCCTGAAGTCAATTTCTTTCCTTTCGCATAATGCTGAGGTCGCGCGCATACTTCTTCCGCTCTTGATTGGCAACGGTATTGTGTTATCCTTTCCACCATCTTTATCTAAAGCCTCGGCTTCTTTTCGAATTTTATTATCTTGTCGAGCCGTCAAGTCACTATATGTAAGACCAGGAACATTCCTGGCGCGCTTCCTGCTGGTTGGCGCTGTCGGGCGACTGATTGTATTGTCGGGGACATAAGCCCAGCCTGGCGCCGAGGTTGTCTTTGCGCTGGCAAGCTCGATGACCCCGAAATTGTTCATCGTCGTTTATAACCGCAGGATTCTGAGAAGAAGAAAAAAAAGAAGAATATGACCAAGGGAGAGTATCAACGACCTCCATAGAAAATCCACACTAAACGGCTGGTCTTGTGGCGTAGCCAATCACGAGCCAGAAAGCTCGAAGAGCACACTCCAATTCCCGCCGAGCTCAGAATATTCCGAGCACCCGGCTCCGGTTGTAGCTCTGTCGTAACTGTACCTCTGACGTCCATCGCCATCGACACCTATTGCTCCCGCGCGATAAACACCGCACAATCCGACGTCCACCACTGAAATCGCAGCAATGTCTTTCGCCCCAAGAGTCCTGTTCTCCAGCAGCCGCGCGCTGGCCACCCGATCCTTCAGCACATCTGCCCGACGGATGGCCGATTCGCCTCTTCCTGCCAGGAAACCTTTGGGAGCTTTCCGTGGAGGGTTAGTGATGACAGAAACACTCTCCCGACGGAAATAATGTTGTTGACTTTGTTTTCAGTCTTTTCGGCTTCCTTCTCGGTAGCTTTCTCGCTGGCAGCGCCTCCTACAGCTATCTCCTCAAGGAGTACAAGATCGCCAACGACCTGTTGACCGAGGATATTTATGTGCGTAACGAATGAGATGAGGCAATTGCTTAGAGAGATCCTAATCCAAGTTGCCTCAAATTTCAACCGCCTGACCAAGTGCTAACACTTTTCCGCCAGACTCTACAAGCCTCCGTCACCCGTCTGAGCAACCACGTGCAGGCTCTGGAGACCAGGACGCAGGGCAAGAAATAGACGGAGAATGACGGGATTAAGACATAATTGTATAAAATAGTCGGAGCGAGGGGGTGGGATAAGCTCCATTGGGTCTCTGGTGGACGAGTTGAAATGAGAATGGCTCCCATCGCATTTCCTATTAGTATTTGGGTTTGAGACTGTCATCAACGCGATTGAGGAGATATGTACGATCATGTGCTACGTTGCGAGCATAACTGCAAGCCCAATCCATAAGATACCATGCGGTCTGTGTAAGAAGAACGTTAAGGTCACGGTGGAGTTGATACAGAGATCAAAACAGTAGTCAAGTCATGAAATGGTCCCATTGCCACGAAAACTAAAACCTAGAGGTGCGATCAAATGTGAGCACCCAAAAGAACCCGCGCCCAAAAACCAGATATACCCCATTTTGTGTACTATCGTTGTTGTTGACATCAATTCTTTACAGCTCATCATGGACATCCTCCTCCTCGGCATCCTTCTTCTCCTCACTAGCGGCGGGGGCAGCCTCCTCAGTGCCCTCCTCCTTGACGGGAAGCTCGGCCTTGTACTTGCCGTTCTCCTTGATGAAGTTGGCGAGGTCCTCGACGGTGCGAGAGCCCTGGTAGGTGACGGGGGCGTCCTTAGCACCAGCGGCGTAGAGCTTGATGGTGGGGAAACCCTGGATCTCGTCGGGGACATCGTTGAGGGTAGCATCAACCTTGGCGATGACAACCTTGTCCTTGAACTCGGAAGCGGCGAACTGAGAAGCAAGGTCATCGTACTTGGGGGCGAGAGCCTTGCAGTGACCGCACCAAGGAGCGTAGAACTCAATCAGGACATCCTTGGTGTCATCGAGGACAATGTCGTTGTAGCTCTTGGCAACGACAACAGTAACGGGGCCCTCCTGGGTCTCAGGAATGGGCTCAGACTTGATGCTGGGCTCAATCTTGCCAGCGGCGAAGTCCTCAACGAACTTGGCGATGTTATCATGTGTGATCTGCTTCTCCTGGTCGAAGGGGAACTTCTGGTTCTTGACAACCTCCTGGATGGCGAAAGAGGGGAACTTGTCAGCCTTGAGGTTCAGGTTACCAGCGTGAGCGCCGAAGGCCTTGGCGTCAATTGTGGCGAAGTTGATCTTGCCCTTGAACTTCTCAGCGATGGGCTTGAGGGCATCACCAAGCTCCTTGCGCTCCTCAGGAGTCTCGGAGAAGATGTATGCGAGAGGAATGCCAGCGGACATGTAGCTGGAGTAGGTCTCAGGGCCGACCTCACCAATGAGAGGGGTGGCAGAGGTAGTAATGAAAGAGGTAATGGCATCCTCCTCGAACTTCTCGGTGAAGGTGTTCTTGCCCTCATCGAAAGACTTGTAGACAACCAGGGCGGGGGCCTTGACACCCTCAGCCTCGGCAACAGCAGCGTCGTTGACGCCACCGAAGAGGTAGGTATCACGGAGACCCTCGGCTAGCTTGGAGAAGGTCTCGTTGGAGCTCTTATCGTCGGCGTTGAGGTAGGCGACGACGACAACCTTGTCGGCGGTCTTGAACTCCTCGAGGGTGTCCTTTGTGAGAATGGAGACAGCGGGAAGGGACTGCTTGATCATGTAGGAAGTGATACTGTATAAATGAGTCAGTCGAAATCTCAGCTGATCATGACAGGTGTCGACTTACCCAGCAGCCTTGCGCTGGCCAGAGTAGGGAGTGACATTGTCAAGGCCACGGAAGACCTTGAGTGTGGGGTAACCTTCGACGCCCTGATCTTTGCAGAGGTCGGACTCCTCAGTGCAGTCAATCTTGGCGAGCTTGATGTTCTTCTCCTTGAGAGTTGTGGCGGCCTCCTCGTACTCGGGGGCGAGGGCCTTGCAGTGACCGCACCAGGGAGCAAAGACTGCAGAAAGAAGCTGTTAGCGGCGGATGGGGGGGGGGAGAAGCTTCAATGGGGTCTTACACTCAGCGAGGACGAGATTGTTGGACTTGACAAACTCCTCGAAGGTGTCCTTGGTCAGCTGGTGAACATCTGAGTCGGCAGCAGAGGCATAGGCAGCCAGAGCAGCCATGAAGCTGCAGGCGATCTTCTTGTGGTGCATGATGGGCTGTTCTTTTGTTGGGGTATCCTATAAAACACAAAGAGAAGGTTCCGCTGAACAGGACAGGGCAGGCAATATAAAGGAAGATGGAGGAAGAAGAGGAAGAGGAAGATTTGAGTTGGGAAGTGGAGGGAAGATGGAGGAGAGTTTTGTAGTTAGAACTTGAGGACAGGTAACGTACATCTACACCCACATCCACAGCCGCATGTACCGTGCTGTAGAGAAAGCTACGGGAGGGTACAATGGGTTGAGAGAGGTTGGAGCCAACTAACATCAGTCAACCCCACTCGGAGACAACTCCCGCTGAGTCTTGCGCGGGCCAAAGGTGGAGGGACGAGGGATTGCTCCGGGGGGGTCCAACTTTCAATTGAACAAGTGTCCCTTTTGTTTGGTGGCACTGGATTTCTCTAGGTCAATGATCAAGCACAAGCCTACAGTCCATACCGCCGGAGCACTCTGCAGACAGGCTACAGGCTACCTAGACAGGTGCGGCCCCTCCAAAGCGGCGGAAAGCTAGTGGGTTTGCTTACCGGGCTCTAAGCCCTTTCAGGCCGTAGCAAGGGACCGGCGCTACTTGGCATTGGGCGAAGCTGCCCTACAGGAAGCGCCAGACCCCTTCAGCTGCTGTAGGGTCTCGGGTCCCTAGGTAGGTCCACCACCGCCGCCGCCGCCGCTGAACTGCTTATGGATCATGAATAGATCGTCAAAGAATGAAGCATTGAATGTTGGTTCAATGTAATACAGATATTTATAATCCGGTAGTTAAAGGATCGTGCGTGAAACAGGCTCGACATCTCACTATGAGAAAGTACCCTTTTGTTTTCTTTGGCTTGCCATTGTTTATGTTGGACCATCACCTACACCACATTCCCTCCAAAAGTGAAACTCTGATAATGACGGATCAGGGACGTGCAAAGAAAATTGCCCAATTAAGCTGCAATAAAACGGGATTTGACCCTCCGAACGGCTCGGAACCCCTGGCTAAATGAGATGGTATTTGAAGTAACGATTACAGATCAGCATCTGTTCAATGTGGCAACACCTTTGTCTCAAGCCAAAAGGCCACGTCTCTGTGACAGCCTAAGTACCTAGGTAGGTACCAGCCTTGCCAATGTTGAACGTGACATGGATAGAGGCTTTGCTCACGTAAGTACTAGGTAGTTAGGTACTAAGTTAACATTAGATGAATGGCATTCCATCATCTGCTTACTGCTCGATATTCTTTTCCACGAATTACATCCAATCCAGCCTCTAAATCATACCATATTGTTTGGCTGAAGTCTTCTTTTCCCATCTGACCAATCCCGATGGTCATAGCATTCTGAGTTCTTGGACCTCCTGATTCATGCCATTCACCTTCTGAATCCATCAACGCTTATCCAGCTGCCTCGTCAGCTAATTCTGCTTGTAGTTGGGTCAAACATCGACAAGTGCCGTGAGAAAACAAAGACATACGTGTCACAAGAATGAGGCGAAACATGATATCGCTTCACTCAGCTCATCGGCCCCACCGAACGGTCTGTTCACGGCCCCACCATGATACTTCCGCCGTGACATACCGGACAATATACCACTCCCTCCGGGAGGAAGAAAACCCCCTACCTATACTGCATCAGGGTGTCAAGATAAATTGACCTGAAGTACTAATAAGATATACTCCATAGGTTTACCAAAAACTTTTGATCACTTAGATAAGAGATCCTAATTTTCTTGCCTCCGCTTACCCCCCCACCCAAACTTTATTAAGTACGGAGTTATCAGCTTCTGACTTGGCGGTGATAACCAGTCGATACACAGAGAATGCTGATATAGGTAGGTTTTCGGTTCCAAGTCAAGAACGGTTGAAAGATGTCATCAGCTTTCAAAGTCGTAATCATGTTCAATTCAATGCTATTTTTCCATAGCTTAATAGTGCTCAGTGCTTCGTGTATCATTATATGTGTCTGCTACCTTTCTACTTGCTGTGAGGTCCTCGAGGTTTAGGTGGTGCACGGTGATACTGAATCGGCCACTTGACATCAACGTTCAGCTGATGAGCAGCACTGAGAACAAAGTCGGGCTCCCTGAGGAACTGTCTTGCAGCAAGCACGAGATCAGCCTTGGGATCCTCGTTCTCCTGGACGAGTGAACGAGCAAATGGACCATCTGTGATGTAACCAACAGTTCCAATCAGAAGCTCTTTTCCGTCAGCACGGACGGCATCGCGGATCTTGCCTGCCAGGTCGGTCTGGACCGTTTGATGGACCTTGATCTTTTGCGCCTTCAAGTTGCCTCCACTGCTGATGTCAAGCACGTCAACTCCTGCGTCAGGAAGCTGTTTTGCGAGCTGAATACTGCTCTCGAGATCCCAGGATGGCTCGTTATTCCACTCCATCCACTCGGTAGCAGAGATCCGCACCCAGACGGGCATCTCCTCGGGAACAACAGCGCGAATAGCTTCAATGATCTCGAAGAGGAGACGAGCACGGTTCTCAAAGCTACCTCCGTACTGGTCCGTTCGTTTCTGAGATCATGTCAGTGGGTGAACTTTTCTCAGCGAGTATCAATACTACTTACGTTGGAGAGAGGCGAAAGGAACTGGTGCAAGAGGTAACCGTGAGCCGCGTGGATCTCAATGACATCAAAGCCAACCTTGACGGCTCTTATAGCGGAGTCCTTCCATTTCTGCACAAGATGCTTGATCTCCTCCGTCGTCAGCTCGTGAGGTGTGCCAAAGTCTTCAGCGAACGGGATAGCACTGGGGGCGGCAATATCATCTGGCCAGCCTCCGACCTCTTTGGTAGCAAGTGCTTTGTTTACGGTACCGCCGATCCAAGGCGCAACTGTGCTCGCTTTTCTACCAGCCTAGAGGATACGTTAGCTTGGGAACGTTGAGGCTTCTCCTTAAATAATGAACCTACATGAGCGAGTTGGATGGCAGCTTTGGTGTTTTGGCTATGGATGAAGTCTGTGATACGCTTCAGAGGGACTATTTGACTATCCTCCCAGAGACCAGAGTCCTCAGGACTGATCCGACCCCGAGGTTCAACTGCGGTGGCCTCAACAAAGACGAGGCCAGCACCTTGAAGAGCGAATTGGCCAAGATGAACAAGATGAAAATCTGTTAAGTGACCATCCTTGGCGGAGTAAGTACACATAGGAGAAACGACAAAGCGATTCTGCTGCTCAACGCCACGAGTGCGAAGAGGCTTGAACAGCGTCGGGGCGGAATCGGCCTTGAGCGGGGTTCCGGCCGGTGGCTCTTGGGCCGGGGTGAAGTAAGGAGCCCCGGGGGCTGCTTTGTTCTCCATGTTTGTGTTGCCCATGGTTGTGCGTGCCCTTGAGTACCTTAGTAGACTGTGCTGTCTAGGTTGACAGGATTGTCGACGTTGTGAGTATTTATGCTGAAGTCGGATTTGTTCGCTATTGACCGGGTTGCAGAATCATGCGCCCTGTTGATACAATGCCACTGGGTTCCACGTATCCACCAAATCAACAGAGAATGATCACGGAATATAGACTCAATCCTAGGAGCATGTATTTCTTTGTATATAAGGAGGTGAGGCGTGGGAAAACATGGTATTTATATCACCAACACTAATCATCTTTCCTCTTGATCCATTGACACCTCAATGGCGATCTTGCTTCTTGCCTAGCTCTCTATCATCAAGACGGTCATAGTGTGCTCAGCTAAGCGAACGATGGCGTGCGAGCATAGATTTCTTGCTTTACTAAAGCTATTGCAAGCATTATCGCTCCGTTCAACTGTGACGTCCAGGAATCGTTTCCCTCTTGGGCTTCTAGTGTCCAATTTGTGAGCAAACGCTGAATAATCAAAAATAGTTAAGCCGAGCCCCTCTCCTACGCCTTTGGCTGATAACGTTATCATTCAAAGGTCAAACATTCAATTCTCGTATGACAGACGCAGTTCCGGTTAACACATGTTGCTTCATCTCGACATTAAGAGTACCTACAGAATCAAAGACTGCTTGAATCGAACAAACCAGGACTATTCCTATCGAATACTAAGACTTGTCACAACGAGTAAATATCTTGATATTTGGATTCTACGTCTCCTCATCTCATTTTCAGTGCAAGAGCTTGCCCAATACATATTGCAAATACTCATAATTGGTGTTTAGAGTCATCTATTCTTTCCGTCCCTCGAGGTTGGCATCCATATCTGGATATCTGCATCTTCACTTTAAGTAAATGAAGTAGAACACACATAACATGCCGCATGGTATGGCCACGCAGCCCAAGGTCTTGACTCTGCATATATGTTTACTCTCAAAGTTTTGATCCAATGATCAAATAATGGTCAGCAGCACTACTTCGAAAACAATCTGGACAAAGTCAAATGCCTGGTGTGGCAGATGCAGGAACGGGCCCAATGACTTTCAGACCCTTGAACAAGACGCCGTCATCGAGCGTCATGACTAAAGTTGCGGCCCGGGCCGATCTCATTCAAACGACACATTACAATAGCAGGACCCGACACAAAAGTTGATAGAAATTCTAGGATTGCTTCTTCTTTTGGTCTCTGCCGTATAAGACAGCAGACATCTTAGTCTATCGACGTGCTCATGTGGTCAAAACTCATGACATGGTCTATACCTAGGCTGGCAATCTTGACCAGCACCCAAATAATCACAACCAAAACTCCGGATATCGCTCTTCTTCAAGTTCATCGATGATATGATGACCAATTGCACTCCTCGCATAGTTCCTTCATAAGCACCTCAAGGACCTCTCTGTCGTATATCCACCACTTATTCCTGGTTCGTAGGCTTAAAGGTCCAGCGCTGGTTCTCAGTGCCCTGGGCGAAAGGAACACCGAGCTCAAATAGTCGGAGAACGACGTCGGAAAAGTCCTTGAAGAAGGCATCGTTATCCTTGGCGTACTTCTCGACCCAAGGCTTGAACTTCTTGTCCTCGATCAGGGCAATGTCGCTAGGAAGCATCATCAGAGACTTGGTAGACTTGTCTTCGTACTGGGCAGGGCCATTCCACTTCTTCCACTGCCACTTCTCTTCGATAAGGAGGCGGAAGTAGTCGTTGGTCAGAACGGTAGGGGAGAAAGTCCAAGGACCCTCATAACCGGATCGGTCAGTGTGGCAGCGGCCAAGAGCGTGGGCGCCGGAAAGGGCGACAATCTCCTGGTCGTTGAAGCCCATACGGTAGAAAATGTCTCGTAGATGTCCAGAGCGCTTTGAGGCGTCGGGAAGACGTCCGTCGGGTGTACAACCAGAGACATCACGATCAGAGCGACCAGGTCTGTAAGGAATGGCAGGACCCAGCATCTCCTGGATAGCGCAAACACCAGCAAGGATCCAGAGATCAGAGTAGGTGATCCAAGGGAACTTCTCCTTCACGGGTTCGAGAAAGTTGCGGGCAGCTGCCAGGCCAGCATTGGCGCCATGGTCAGCCTCGGGGGCGAATCGCATGGTGGCACCGTTACTGCCACCAGTGCCAGTCTCCTTGTCGTAGGTACCGCTGGCGTGCCAAGCGAGACGCACGAGAACGGGGCCGTAGCTGCCGTCATCATAGTCATCCTTCTCCTCCAGGCGAGCAGCAATCTCGTTGTAAACCTTCTGATAGTCGTCCTTGGTAGGGTTGAAAACCTTGGGGGTTGCGGAAGAAGCGCCGTTGGCGTAGAAGTAGTAACCAGCACCACCAGCAACCGCGGCACCAGTCAACCACACCCAGGCGGAAGATGACTTCTGTGCGGGCTCAGAAGAATAGTATCGGCGACCCTGCTGGCGAATGACCTGTCTAGGAGCAATGGCGAAGCCGTTACGAGTAGCGCGAGTGGCCGCGCGGGCGAACTGTCGGGTAGCGGAGGCCATCTTTAAGAGCAAACGTTAGTTACAAGCTGAAAAGGCAGTGTTGTTGAGTGTGCTGTTTATTGAGACTGCCAGGGGGAGCAAGCTTTGCCTTAATACTGCAGTGCTCAAGTTTGAACGTACCTTGAGTGTGTAGGATTACAAAGAGGTGAGACGCTTGAGAAATGTGACTCCAAGGAATTGTAAAGAGAGGATGGGAGAAGAAGAAGAAGAAGAAGAAGTAGAAGAATGGGTCAAGACGAGAAGGTCTGTGGCATCTATTAAGAAGGGATGCGTCGGTTGAAGTGGCGGGAAGCCGAGGGCGGAACGGGGACCTGCCGTGTCAGTGCCAGAAAGTCAGGCAGTCCCGACCCTGACTGATAACCTCTACCGGGGACACGATTCATGGGGTTGCCGAACGGGGCAAGCAGCTTCTGTCTCAAGCCCAAGCTCTTTCCATTTCCGTGCCGGAGCGTTTCGATCTTTGACATGTGTATAATCCGAGATCGGGGAGGCCATGATGGGATGGTTGCTATTCACTGAGGTATAGGTATGAGGAACTCTTCCTCCAGATATTACTGCCATCAACGTACCACGAATTGATTCCTAACATCACCCTCAACTTCCCCAGGTACTCTCGCCTCGGAGCTGTACCCGGCTTCATGAACCGGCGCGATGTCTTGAAATTGAACATCAGCAATTGGCCAATTTGATATCTCGGCCCCATTTCTTTTATCAAACCTGGCGGGGATGACGCTCTTATGGATCGGGTGGAGTCGGTGGAGATCCTTGGTAATGAAGATTCTCTCGCCTCTGACAGGTTACTAATACTTGAGGCCTGTCGAGGGACAGCAGGGGTCATTCTTTGAAGCATTCAGTGTTATGCCCGCTTATGATTTAGAGACACTTCGACATGAGGCTCATGAGACAAAGTCGTCTAAAAACGGTTTCCATGTGTCAGGCCGAAAAGGGAACACCCTCTCGCTGTGAACCACGAGGCGACCAACCATCAGAGTTCAACTAGTCGGATTCGGAGAGACAAGAGAAATCTCTGATGGATTGGGACCCTGAAAGTAACCCTCCATTACAGAATCCCAACGCCTCATCAGCTAACGCATGGAGATCATCAGTCAGCACGGCGTGGCACCCGAACCGAAACGAGGCGTCCGTCTCCCATTGCTTCAACATCAACTATGGCACAGAGGATCAATTCAGAACGTCTTTGTAGTACAATACCTTTCTTTTGATTGGATTGTCCCCCTGAATGGAATCTTTGATGTCGAAAGAAGATTTGTCATGTGTTGCTTCTAGGGACAAGTGCAGCAACGCCCTCCACAAGCGGGTACTTATGGAATCTTTTCTCGACAACAGGGGTCTACCCCAAAGATTCCAAATCGCCTCTTGCATGTGATTTCGTCATATCAGCAAATTCCAACTTATTCTGGACTATGTAGTCTTAACAGCCACTTTTAAGCTACAGTCAGATTCTCACACAACAGCACATGTCTGATCACACGAATAGGTCTAATCTCCATTTGCCCCCTACTCTGCTCTCCAAGGAATCATCTACAAACTCCTGTGTTTCCCGTTTTCCTAGATCTGCAGACTCTGTACCTCCTTAGGTAGATCAGTAGACGTGATTGTAATCTCATCGAATGGATCAACATCCCGAATCCCGGAGACGTACTCTCTCCGACAATCCTCCGGTGGAGACAGAGCATCTCTACGAAAGTCGGCGAGTGTTGCCAATGGCTTCTTCTAATGAGAAGCTAATGCAAGTGCTCGTTACCCCACAAGATCTGGACCAGACACCCGTTCAATATTCCACTCATCAACAGCTTCGTGCTCAAGAATATATATAGATCTCGCCTACAGCTTGTGATATTTCGTCAAGAAGAATTCTCTGCCCGTCAAATCAAGGCAACTTCCAACTTTCAAGACTCAGCAATATGCTGAATAGCCATACCTTATCCTCCAGGTTCATCCAAGCCACATCTGCTATTGTATATGCAGGGGCGCCGTTTCGTTTATAGTACAACTCGAGTGCCCCACACTTGATTAAGTCCTCCTGGATACCAGCGCCTCGAACACCTTTCACGTCCAGTTCAGTCCATCATATATTTCTTCCTCAGTTGAAGTCTGCGTTGCCCTGCGCATCAGCTTCTGGTTCACCATGAGTCTCGTAAAAGTGAGAGTACTGGGCCTCGGCCCGCTGCTTGCTGGCCTCGTCCAGCTCTCCCTTTGCAACCCCATTCTCCTTGCCGCTGCCCGTAGAGAGTTTGGCTACCGACGATGGCCTTTAGATTATTAGTTAGTTTTCAATAGTATCGGAGAGCATATCGACTTACCCAAATATTTCTCTGTCGATTTGCAAGAATACCTTCATGGCATCCTTGTTGCCTCTCTCGATCAAGTATGTGAGATATACTTGGGTCAAGTCCTTCTTGACTGCTGGGGAGAGTCGGCTTCGTTCTCGAAGCTCGTCGAATACTTTCTTCATGCGCTCGCTGTGTTGAGCTTCACTCTCGAGGCTCGTTGGCTGATTCAACTCAAAGTTGAACCATCGATCCCAGAATAGCCTGCTGTCCGCACACCACTGCACATTTTTCATAAAAACCCCGCGAGCCTCTTCCACCGAACCCTTGGCCTTCAAGAGCAAAAGAGCCCATTCTGCAACCAAGGCAGCTTTGGTGTACACGTCTACCGTAGCAGAATCGATCTGTTCCTTAAACACCTGAATAGCAGCGTCAATGCCATTTTGTCGTCGCTGGACATTGGCCCACGACACAATGACCTCAACACAGTCTGGTAGCCTCAGAAGAATTGCCTCATGGATATCAAGGGCAACGTCAACTCGGCCAGCACTTTCTTCGAAGTAAGCCCATTGCAGTCTGATGCCTGGTCGGCTAACAGGCACAAACATCGTCGAAGCACGTGCATAGATGTTGCGAACTTCCTCTTGTTTGTCTTCCTGGCCACTCATCCACCGGGCATATCGGAACCAGAGGTCATCGTAATAGGCGCATGTGACAAGACATCGTTCGTACAAAGCGACGGTTCGTGTGAAATCGCCTTCAGCTTCTTCGAAATCCAGGTACTTGCGCCAGTTGACCAGATCCTTGTGTTCCAAAGCCGTAACGTGAAAGTAGGGTCTCTTAATCTCCGATTCGTAGGTCCAGCGCTTCGATACCTCAGTTTGCGTCGCAGTGAAAATTTCGTAGTACATGGCATCGATCTTTGCACGAACATCGCGCTCAATCTCCAGCTCAGCCTTAGGACCGCCGCCATAAGCAATTGTTTCAGCTTCGACCTCCGCCCTGAAACGTGAAAGATCCTCAGCAGACACCACCTCTGTGATGGGTTGATTATGTGATAGCGATCGAAACCTCTCGTAGTAACGTGCATACTGGTGCATTGGTATGCGAATGATTCGTGCATGGATGGCGTAAATTTTGTCTTGTGCTTCCTGACGCTCTTCGTACTCAATGTACTTGTCCCAGAAAGGATGGGCAAGAAAATCGAGTCCCACGAAGGCTGATCCTCGCTCAAATAGTCTAGAGAAGAAGGTTAGCAGGTGAGCTCATTGCGGGAGGGATAACTCAGGGGAAAGGGTGGAGAGGATTAATACAGAGGGGAAGATGGTTGTGCGAGTGGGTAGCAAAACCGATATCATGTTCTACCGAGCGGGTGCGGGTGACGTGTAACGCAGGGACGACTTTGGAGTTTAGAACGAGCACGGATTGAGCATCAACAGAGCCTGGCAGGGAGCGTGAGAAAGCGTCCCGGCTAAAGGGGCTATCGCAGGCATATCTCACCATCAGATACTTTTGATAGTAGAGTGTAGAGCCCTCGTGGATATGTCGACCGAGACCACTCAGGTCAAGCGGGAATACTGTGCCAGAAGGCATGTTAAGGGAAGGGGAAGGAAACCATCCAAATGGAACTTACTCTCTGACGAGGTGTGGGTCATGGGTTGTCTCCATCTTGAAGGAGCAGTAGTCCGTCCACAAGTCGACAGAATTGGTGATGCTTGCGCATCCTCTCTCGTATACCTATAACACCTTGTCAGCCGTGTCGCAGGCAACGTCCGGAGTGTACTGACCATCTCAGCAGACTCGGGGCCGGCAATATTGAACTCCATGTCGGCATATTTCTTCCAGTACCCAAAGAGCAGAGGGAATTTAATGAGGAATCTGTCGTAGGCATCGCGGAAGGTCGCTAGTGCTTGAGGGCTTGAGTTGCGATTCAAGCCACCCTCCAATGTCTCACAAGCTTTGATGAGGTTCTCCCAGTGCTCGAAGTTGTCGGGGTCAGACTCCTGTTGTAGCGTCAAACGGTCAGTGTTCGAGTCCGAGTTTAAGAAAGAAGAGAATAAAGGCGGGAGCTTACCACCTCAGCATTGTGCTTGCGCACAGTTGCGTACTCCTCATCGGAGCCGAAATGACCGAAGTCGCTCATGACGTTAGAGTGTTTAGTGCTTCGTCTCCCAGGGTCGCGCAATTTATTTGATATTAGGAATTAGCAATGAATATTCGGTCTCGAGGTGCGGGTTTGAAGTTGAGAGGTTTGTAGATAGGAGATGACGCTTGAGGCTCACGTCTGTCGCGAAAGGCAGGGGCTGGTCGTTCGCGCCGCAGACAAGCTCTTTTTTTTCAGGTACTTTCTGGGTTAGTCACTGGCCAAAGCACTTCTGATGCACGTGCTCACGTCAAGACGCGCAAAATAGTCGTAAATTAGTGCTACCAGGGAATTTGATGCAAGCAGGTCTGTACTTGTCCAGCAAGTCTCCGCAATTGACATGGGTCTTGAGATCCAGTCCGGGCCAACAATTTGCCGTTCTCAGGATGACTCAGCGTCAAGAAAGCTTGCAGATATTTTTGGCGAAGCGGTGCAGGAGAAGAATTCTTCTTTTTTCTCTATCCTAAAATGGGCTTATGATGATTCTCACATAAACATATGATAGGAAGAGAATGAACGCTCTCTTTTAGAGAGCATGATCTCAATTTCGAATCTGAAGCTCCCTTGTCATTTTGTTTCTATTGTTGCGCGGCGGTCTCCGATTCTCGACAATATCATGTATAATAGTGTGTCTCATGACATGATCACACATCACGGATCTTGCGCATGTCTTGCGGGTCACCTTTTTTCTTTTGAGATACCTCGAATCTTATTGTCATCGTATGGTATTTTTTCAAAGGGCTGGGCTGTCTGTTTAGGAGTATTCTTACCTGAGTGTCTTTCGAATCTCAACTGGGCAACTCTTCTCTCCAAGCCAAACTACCTTAAGCACTTCGGCGGGTATATACGAAGCTTGCTGATCGGGCCAGAATTCGTGGCAAAGTCTCGCAGTCTGATATGAAGTTTCATTGCCATCCTATGTCTTGCCAGAGGTTGATGTTCTGTTTTACCATTGATAGCAAAAGTCAATCGTATTTTAGGTATCATAGACCTGCAGAAGTACTTGGTCCTTAACCCCATAAGCTGAAAGTAAAGGCGCAAGCTTCGCGCTCTTGACATTATCCAAGAGTTTCTCGCCCAGTGCATCATTGGCGATGGGCCTGCATCATGATAATGATGATGCCTTGTGTTCAGATGTTCATGCCAAAGCTCAAAGATCCAATGTCTGGCTATTTGTAGATGCCACTGGTGGGGCTTCGTCTACTGGCTAAGTACCTACTACCTATTAGCAGTCAGGGGTCTCTCATCATGGTACCCCAGCTGAGAAACGTCATTTGTAGAGCGTGCAGTCCAATCCAGCGCCTCTTACATTTATCTAACGCCCAAAGCTCAAAACTTCATCCAAACATTGGCTGAAACCTACAGAGCCCAACTACGTCCGCCCGAAAGTTTCCTGTCTTTAAAATTCATCTTACACTTCCAATCAATCATGAGTCAAAAGAAATATTAAAATCATTTCGCATTCGCAAGCGTAATCCTATCGTGGACACGTTGACCTTGCATCCTCTATCCATTCCATGTTATCCTACTGAATACACGATGGACTATTCCTCAGGGGCCTACTCTTCCCAGGCTGCCTCTCCCGAAAAGTCATGCGAGCTCTACATACGCGACTATCCTCATCGATCCATCGCCATTGTTTCAACATCACACACTCTGATTCTTCGATATACTACCTCCACCAGTGAAGCCATCGCGAACGCCTCGCTTACATCCTTAGCTGCGTCTACGAGGAGCCGCGGAAACCCCGGCGAAGCTTTGGTATCGAAATGCATGGTCGAGTTCGCACCTGTGTCGAGGCATTTGCTGCAGGACTATCGCCGTCTGACACATCGACCGATATACGGGACACTAGGCTTGATCACAGTTAACAGCGATGTCTTCCTATCCGTCATTACGCATGCGACACGTGCTGCCACCTTGCGGCCTGGCGAGACTGTTGAACGTATAAACGGTGTGGCCTTCTACTGCCTGAGTAGCGCGGACTATGACGATGTTGTTCCTCTCGAATCACTTGATCCGGAGTTTTCGGATTCTGCATCGGTGCAATCTGGTCCTTATGGGCAAGGCCTTGGTCGAAGAGAAGTTGCCATGGAGCACCCATGTCACGAGCTTCGCAGCCTACTAAGCAACGGAACATTTTACTACAGTACAGATTTCGATCTCACAAACCGGCTTCAAGACAGGTTCGTTGTTACCTTGACCTGTACATCATTAGACTGACAAGAAATAGACCAATCAATTCCAACTCGTTCGAAATCGACAATTTTGACGATGGGTTTCTCTGGAACTCATTCATGATCAGTCCTCTTGTCCAGTTTCGTTCCCGTCTCATGCCTAATGAACGAGCTGCGCTTGATTCGTCACGAATACTGACATCAGCAATTCGTGGTTTCTGTAAAACCATGACAATTCCGCTAAGCTCTTCGCCACTTAAGAATTCCAAGTCAGGAATGCCTTCTTTTATGACTCTCATATCTCGACTATCCTGTCGCAGAGCTGGAACTCGCTTCAATTCACGAGGTATTGATGATGATGGGCATGTGGCAAACTTTGTTGAAACTGAGACCACTTTCTGGAGCCCGGCGGGAACCATGTTCTCCTATGCTCAAGTGCGCGGATCAGTACCTGTCTTTTGGGAGCAAGCGGCCGATCTTATTCCAGGTCGGCAGAAGATCACAGTCACCAGATCTCCCGACGGGACACAGCCGGCCTTCAACAAACATTTTGAGGAGCTCGAGCAATCGTACGGAGCTGTCCATGTCATCAATCTTCTTAGTGAGACAAAGCCTGGCGAGGTTGAGCTCAGTACACTCTACCACAATGGTATCAAACACTGTCCATTAAGTCGTGCTGGCCCAGACGGATCTTCAGATCATGCTCTCTTGCGAGAAACCAATTACGATTTCCATGCAGAAACAAAAGGGCCAGCGGGATATGAGGCTGCGCGAGATATCCGCCGCTATATTGAGGACTCCACCGACGGTTTTGCCTACTTTCTTGCGGAGGAGACAAGCGAACCTAGATATGACCATGATGGCTCTGGACAAGCTCGTATGGTGGTTGTGCTTCAGCAGGAGGGTGTCTTCCGAACCAATTGTCTGGACTGTCTTGATCGAACCAATCTTGTGCAAACCATGATCTCACAGATGGCAGTTGAGGCCTTTCTTGGACATCGGGGTGAATTCGCTGCCTCTGATTTCTGGATGAGACATTCCAGTCTATGGGCAGACAACGGCGACTCTTTGTCCAAAACGTATGCTGGGACAGGCGCGCTCAAATCATCGTTCACGCGTCATGGAAAGATGTCTCTTGCAGGGGCTGTGGCTGACGTGCGAAAGTCTGTCCAACGTATCTATCACAACAACTTCCTCGACCCCTCTCGTCAAATCACTATTGACATGCTTTTGGGTCGCCTCGTTGGGCAAGCGGCGGTCCTTCTGTTCGATCCCATCAGCGATTTTGTGTCAACAGAGCTGTCCAAAAGGAGCAGCGAGTTCACGTCATACAACAGCATCACCATATGGGTTGGCACGTTCAACCTTAATGGCCGTACCGAAGGCGTCAATGACGATCTTGGCCCCTGGTTATTCCCGGAGACCTTGGGAGATGCGCAGCCGGACATCTACGTCGTTGGTTTTCAAGAAATTGTAGAGCTCAGTCCGCAACAGATCATGAACAGTGACCCGTCACGGAAGAACCTATGGGAGCATGCCGTGAAGCGCAATCTTAACGATCGACAAAAGCGATTGGGAGGTGAGAGGTATGTGTTGCTGCGGAGCGGGCAGCTAGTTGGAGCAGCACTCTGCATTTTTGTAAAGACGCCCAGTTTGGCCAACATTAAGAACGTGGAGGGTAGCGTGAAAAAGACTGGCATGTCTGGCATGGCTGGAAACAAGGGTGCTGTGGCGATTCGATTCGACTATGCCAACACGCATATATGTTTCGTCACGGCACATCTGGCTGCTGGCTTTTCAAACTACGATGAACGCAACCGGGATTATGCAACAATACATCACGGTTTACGCTTTCAGCGGAACCGGGGAATCGATGATCATGGTAAGTACCCTTGGTACTGTGTTCGCTGAATCCACACATACTGACAAAAACAGACGCCGTCATCTGGTTGGGCGACTTCAACTATCGCATTGGGCTCAACTCTGAAACTGCGCGTGCGTTGGTGAAGAAGCGTGACTTTGAGACGCTATACGAGAATGATCAGCTCAATCTGCAGATGGTAGCTGGATTATCGTTCCCCTTTTATTCTGAAGCTCGCATCACGTTTCCTCCGACGTACAAGTTTGACATAGGAACCGATGACTATGATACCTCGTAAGTGCACTTTCATGTATCGGTGCTTGTATTCACGAATTCTGACGAGACTACAGTGAGAAAGCTCGCATTCCTGCGTGGACAGATCGTATTCTCAGGAAGGGTTCCAACCTCAGACAGATCTTGTACAACTCGGCACCTCTCAAATTCTCAGATCACCGACCTGTCCACGCTGCCTTCGAGTGCAGGGTGAGCATCGTGGATGAGCAGCTGCGAGAAAAGATCAGTACGGAGTTGTATCAACGTCGAAAGGCCGAGGTCGGAGACGCAACAGCTCATCTTGGCACTGGCGAGGACAGCGATGATGAAGATCTTATTGGCTATGATTCTATCGAGCCAGGGCTTCCTCCCGCAAGTTCGGATCGCCAGAAGTGGTGGCTCGACAACAAGCAGCCCGCTCGTGCCGCTGTACCTGTGCCCAAACCCAGAAACGGGCAAGCCGTGGGGCTCAATCCCAACCGTCCTTCAAATCCCTTTGGTCTTACTGAAGAGCCGGATTGGATCTCTATTCCAAGATCGTCGTCAAAGGCATCTCTGTCCAGCATGTCCAGTTCACCATTTGAAAAAGTCAGCTTGCCCAACGTCATGGCATCAGGGTCGAGTATTCAACCTCGAAAGCTGCCACCGCCATATGACCCATCAGCATTGCCAGCTAAGGTCGGGCGCAT